ATTATTCCTCCCTGGGGAACCTCTCTTGAACTCCTTAGTGTTAGAGGAATCCATTTTACCAGTCAGGTGATTGGACAAGTCTGTGCCTCGTTGGTTTTACAACACTTTCCCTGTGTTTACCACCCTCAATCGTCAGGTTTAGTCAAACGCACTGATGGCCTTATTAAGTCTCAACCGGCAAAATTTGTAGAGGCTCTCCAAACATGTTGGCCAAAAGTATTGCTGTTGGTCCTTCTAAGTCTCAGATCCACCTGCTTTGGAACTCATAAGATGAAGGTCTTAGTGTTCAAACATAGACTGCTCCAATATTTTCCTGTTAAATTTAACCATTGAATTGGGAGTGGGTAGTGATTTTTTGAAGCAGAGTTGCTTCAGGGCCAAGAAGGCAAGGCTCCAGGTTCCCACTCCAATTTCGCTAGGACAAAACCACTGTGTTTCTCTATTGGGGTCACATCTGCAATTTCATTTTTTAAAAAAGGATTCTGTTTCTAAGATTTTGAAAACATTAAATGAGATAACCTTTAAGCTTATTTCAAGTAGTGCTTGAATGAAAGAACAGATAAGAGAAGTAGAGGTAGAGACCTATACATGGTTAAGCAAAAGAAAGAAAAAAAACCCAATGACTAATATTCTCCAGGAAAAGCAATTTTTAAAACTTCAATACACTTCAAAATAGCATTCCTAGGTTGTTACATTAGGTCTAGTACTTGTCATTCCACAGCATAAGTTCTAATACCAGTCCAGAAAGATATTAAATTCTAGTTTACCTGCTACTTTCCCCATGAAGTCTTCCTAATGACTATTCAGAAGTAACACCTTCATTCATATAAATTCCATTATCTAGACTTCTCATCATTTACTACTTTTAATCTGTGTTGTAGTTATTTCTGTATATGTCTATTTTTCTATTATAAGTTCCTGTAGAATAGGTACTGTTTCATTCTCTCTATATTGTCTGTAGTTCCTTGTACAGTATTCTGCACACAGTAAGTGCTCAATAAATACTAGTTGAATGAAAGCAATACAATGAGTCCCCTCATTATTTGGGAAAATAAAACTAAAACACTGTCATATGAAAGAGATATTTAAGTTTTTCTGGGTGGTCCCAAAGGATGAATTAAGAAGTGCAAAATTTTGATATAGAAGTACTTTCTTCCAATTAGAGTTGTCTAAAAACAGATTTTGCTGACTTGCGAGGTAATGTTTCCTATCTTGTATGGTTTCTAATAGAAGAAATGCAATGGCTATTGAAGATACATAGGACTGAATCTTATTCAGCTCTGAAAGTCTCTTGGTGGCAAAAGTATTAACTTTGAAGCCAGACCATCTGAGTCTGAAGTATGGCTAAGCCACCTACTACCTGGGAGGTTTTTGGCAAACCAAATCTCTCTGTGCCGCAATTTCTGTATCTACAAAATGGGCATAAGTTCTTTGATTTTAAGACAATTATTTTAACATTTCTGATATCATGATGCTTATTATAGTTATTGTCAGCCAGATGGCAGTTGTGACAGAATCATCAGTTCATTTGTTCATGCTTGAAATGAGCTATCTTCAATCTTAATACATCATACATGTTGAGTTTGACTTCTTTTTAAGATGTCTCAAAAGATTACAATATAAATTGGCATTGAAACTAAACATTTTGTGTATGCAAAAAGTCAAGGAAACAGAGCGATGGAGTATAAATTTCAGATTACTTTCCTCATGTAGTTATTGTAAGGACTGTAAGGATTAAATGAGTTAATATATGTAAACTGCCCAGAATAGGGTCTGGCACAAAGTTAGCATCCTGTAAGTACCATTGTTATTATATTTTTATATACTTAGTCATCATTAATTTCAACAATTGCTCCTTCTAATCTAGCTTCTAATTGGATGTCATATGCAGTAAGGTTATGAGGATTGCAAAAGGAAAACAGGGGTTTCTCCAAGGTGAAAATATAGCCTTGGAAATTAGGAAGCAATACCATTAAAGTAAAGGAATAGAGTAAGATCTTGTAGAACCAGACTCTTTCAATCCTCTTCAGTTACGCTAAATGCAAATGAAAGGCTCTGGAAATAAAAACATTACAAGTTACGGTGGAAGCACTGGCCTTATCACTCTCTTACTCTCAGTTGTTTCTGTGCTGACCCACATTTCTGTTTTGCCACTTTACGGTCTGGCAGAAGTTCCACCATTTTGAAGTTAAATTGCTTGTAAAAGACTCCATTCTAAATACTGAGTGATTCTGCAGCAACAGGAAGAGAGCCAGTGCTTCCCCTAATTTCCTTCCTGCCACTGCCTCAAATCCAGCTAAAATAACTTTTCCCAGGGAGTGGATTAGTTGGGAAAAGATGTTTTCATTGAAGCAGGGTAGTTCTGATCCCAGCTGGCTCCATCTCAGAACCACTTGTTTGAATATTCAGCCCATGATGGGCTTTGTGGAATGTTAATTATTGAAGGAATGCAATATAGAGATTTTCACTTGACAACTGCTAATTTGAGTTCACAAAGCCTCTTGTTTCCTTATTAAGATACAGGCAGTAGAATGTATAGAAAATTCAAAGCTAACTGGGTGTACTGCTTCGGCTGGAACCACACCTGTGTATTGCCTCCTAGTATGTCAACTCCTGCTTTTCTACAAACAATAGTTAGGCAATCACCTATTGACATTTCATTAGTCTTATTCCAAGCATTAAGTTCACCCTTGCCATAACTTCCATGCAATGGAAGCAATGGCAAGCAATGGGAGAAGGGTAATAGAATGGGGGGAAGGAGTGAGGGGTTAAGAAGGCATTCTTCAGTCTCTCTTGCTCCAGGATACCAATGGGCTGCAGAAATGAAGGATCAGTAAGCTCTGGAAGTATTTTATTTAGATTGCTACCCTGTCTTCTCCATATCCCTCCTTTCTAAAATATTAAGAATTCAGTCCTTGTTACATGGGGGTGACAACCCAGGTAAGAAAGATCGATTTTTAGTATGGCTGATTTAAGTGTGTGCTCGAAGACAGAGTCACAAAAACAATCAGCTATGCTGATGAGGATAGAATTGTACTGCTCACAGGAGTGTACTTTAAGATTATGGAATAATGTTCCTGTTATGAGGTATGGCTCAAACTGTCCTGTCTCTACAACAAGACTTATGCTTAGGATAAAATATAATTTTAAAATCCGGGAGCATCTTAGAAGGAAGTTGCTTGATAAACACCAGGTGTTTTAATATGCTTAATTCAATTATTGTGAAGCAACTTGAGGAAGTATCAGGATGTCGATCTACTCTGAAGTCATGTAGGTGGTATTGAAGGCACATACCAGGAGATACAAAGAATGTCTCAACTGCCATTTAAATCATACATTTTTTCTGATTATAAAAAAATAACACCTGCTTATAGTGGGGAGAGGGGAATACAGAAATATGCAAGTTTATAGCAAAAATAAAATCACCTATATTCCCATCATCCAGAAAAATGTTTCCTTTTTATCTTTTTTAAAAATGAATATATACATAATACATATGACTCAAAATTAGTTCCATATTGCATATATAGTATTTTTGAACTTTTCATTTGGAAATAGTTTCAAACTTACAACAGTTGCAAGAATGAAAATAGCACAAGGAATATCTGTATATCCTTTACCAAGATATGGTTTATAGTTAACATTTTACACTATCTGCTTTATCATTTGTTCAATCTACCTATCTATCTGAGGATTGCAAAAGGAAAACAGGGGTTTTCATCTATCTACTATCTATCATCATCTATCTATAATTTAAGGGTGAGTTACATATATCACAGCTCTTTTACTCCTAATTCAGTGTGTATTTCTTAGGAATAAAGATTTTTGTCTAATATAACCACAGTTGTCTGCTTTATAAATTCATAAATTTACATTTATTTGAAAATTTTATTTAATCCACCATCCATATCCCCATGTTATCATTGGAGCCAAAAAAATGTCCTTCATAGCATTTTCCCCCTCCAGCACAGGATCCAGTCTAGGTTCAAATCTCTTAAGCTTCTTTTATTCTGGGACATTTTCATAGCCTTTATCTTTTCTGATATTGACATTTTGAAGGATGCAGTGCCTCTCACCCATGCTAACACATGCCTTTATTCTTGTAATTGAATACTCTCCATTTTGTATTTGTCTGGTGTTTCTCTGAGTAGACTGAGGTTATGCATTCTCTTTTGGGACATCTCATAGTTCTGATTCTAGACATTTTACTCAGCTTTTGATGGTGTTACTGGAAAGATGAGTAGTCATCCAGGAAATGACTTGCCTTGGAGTATTACTGCTCAGCTAATGAACAGTCTGATTAAAAGGGGTTTATTGAAACAACCAATTTGAATACGTAAGGCAAATATTTTATTGGAGTTCTTAGTACTTAATTTGCGGTTTTGATGACTAAACTTTTTAATATTGTTTTTGAGCATTGCTAATGGGAGTGCAACCATTACCCAGTGGCAAGACACAGTTCTGAGGGACATTCTAAAGTACTTCCTTCCTACAAGTCGCCACAAATTCATTTCCTTTTGCTTTTAGCTAATTTAAGAAGCCATGAGGTGATGAGTGGGTGTGTGCAGCAGTAGCTCGACAGGAAGGAGGTCTCGGTTTGCTCTGCCTTTCTGGGATGGAATCTATGAAGGGCTCTGATAAGTATTTCTTAACGAGACTTGAAAGCATTGTTTTCTCTTGTTGCCATATCCCTAGTGTGCACGGAAAGGAACTGAGAAATTCCTCCTTGGCCTCATAGTTGCATTCTAAACCGGGAATGGGTCTGTAAAGTAGTGCAGAAGAACGGGCCCAAAGTGACTAACGCATACCCCTGGCGAGCTCCCCGCGCCCGCCAGGGGGCAGCAAAGATGAGGGTGCCGCACAAACAGACGGAGCGGTTGGGTATTCAAAGCAGAGGGAGCGAACAGCCTCTGTATTTAGAAGTCAGCAAAGCGTTTCCAGCGTGCTTTACGCCTTTCGACAGATTGCTTTGCGGATCTTCTCCCGTTCTGATTTGACTTACGTCTCCTCTTCCTACCCTTCCCGCCTCCACCCAGGGTTCGCTCTCGATTTGGACCTTCTTCCCAGGGTCCCCTTGCGCTTCCTTCCCAGTCGCCTCTGCGCGGCTCTATCTGAAGTCCCCTTCCGCGTGTATTTATCCTAGACGGAGCTCCCTGCGTGCACCGCGCGCTGTCGGAGGCGCGTAAGTGAGGAGGGAGGATGGCCTAGTAGGGTGGTTCTGGCGGGGCGCTGTGGAGCTGGGGCTGCTCAGATTCCGAGTAGAGCATCGAGGCGGTGGTTCAGTTTGTCCTGCGGTCCTAACATAGTGAACTTGAGTGCAGAGGCCTGTACTAAGTTCAGGGCTTCTAGAGAATTTGGTTAGGAGGGACAGGGTTACCCGAAACCTGCACCAACACACGTAGCACTCACGCCAGGACCCCACCACGGGATAAAGGCAGCGTATTGTTAACTGTGGCAGCCCCCTGAGCGGGCGCGAGATTGCTAAATGCTGCTTGACAGGAGTGAAGGGTGCTGAAGTTTCTGTCAGTAGCTGAACAGCGTTGGAAGGAGTGGCTGCGTCTGGGAAGGAATTACCCATTTAAAAGGAATTTGACGCCCGTACTCAGCCTTTCTAGACTTGTTTTTTAAAAAATTCATCTATGATTAAGTTTATCCTTTTAAAGTGAACAATTCTAAGCAGCGTCAGGGCCTGGTTAGTACTTGGATGGGAGACCACTTAGGTGCTGCAGGCGTTAAAAATAAAGGGAATAATTCAGTGGTTTTAGTATAGTCACAAGGTGGTGTAACCATTATCTAATTCCAGGATATTTTTGTCACCCCCTAAAAGAAACCCTGAACTCATTAGCAAGCAGTTCTCATTTCCTCCTGTCCCTAAACCCACAAATCTACCTTTTGTCTTAATGAATTTACCAATTCTAGATATTTCACATAAGTGGAATTATACAGTATTTCCTTTGTGTCCATCATACTTCACTTGGCATAATGTTTTCAGTGGTCATCCATCTGTAGCATGTGTCAGTACTTCACTCCTTTTGATGGCTGAATAATAATATTCAGTTGTAGGGATATACCACATTAGTTGATGGGAATTTGTTTTTTTTTTCTACTGTTTGGCTTTGTAGACCTTTTAAGGTCTATTCCTCCACAGAACTCTGAGGTACAATCATTTTAAAGCTAAATTCTCAAAGGCCAGCATTTAACTCTGAGATTGGGTCAGTTATTTCAGTGACTTTGGGTCTGGTGTTTTTAGGGAAGTTTATTATTATCTCAATTTATTACTTATCAGATCATTAATTGTACTGGTAACAAGCAGAGAAATGTTTATGTGCAGTTCTTATCAGAAGCTACTGTGAAATGTATGCCATGACCTGTTGTAATGAGAACTGGGTGTAGTTGGAAGTGAGCATATGAAAATGTAATTGAGATAGCTGTAGGAGAGCTAAAAAAAAAACCCTTACAGCTGATCCTTTTATTTGCTGAGTCTGTATTTGTTAACTTACCTACTATCTAAAAAAAGAAAAAAAAAACCTTGATATCCAGTCCTGCTGTTCTTGATACAATCAGAACCTCATCCATCACTGAGTCCTGTCAATTCTGCCTCCTGTAATACATACCTGGAATCTAGCTTTCTCTACATTTTCATGATCTTAGTTGAGCTGTTATCATTTTCTTCCTGGGTTGTTGTAATATAGTCTCCTAACTGATCTCTTCCTTAATTATTCACTGTTGACAAAAAGCTTTCTGAGGCATAAGTAAAATTTTTTTATTCTCAGCTTAAAATTTCCATTGCTCCCCATGGTTTGCAAACTGAAGTTCTAAGCTTTTAAAGGTGGCTTCTATTACCCTTCGTGATTATGCCCTCTCCTGTCTTTAATAAAGATGAGGAGGTCAGACAAAAGGAAAATTTCCTTATATAACAAGCCTCATTCTCTCTTACTCCTTCTTTCTTTCTTCTACATATAATTAGAAGTGCTTTCATGTAATAAGGAAATGGATAAGAATAAAAATGTTTCCCGATCTTGTTTACCTTCTTAATAGCTCTCGAATTCATCCATTTCTTGCTCACAGCCACTGCCCTAGTTCAAGTTCTTTCCTCTTACCTTGTACGAGTCTTTTTTGGTCATATGTTTTCATTTCTCGGTGAAAATACTTATCAGAAGAATTCTAGGGTCACATGGCAAATGCATATTTAATTTCTCAAGAAATTACCAGGTTCATTTCTAAAATTATAAAACTATAAAACTTCTAGAAGAAAGAATAGACTATCTTCATAACCTGGGTGTGTACAAAAGTTTTCTTAGATAAGACTCAAAGCAATAACCACTTAAAAGATAAATGGGATTACATCAAAATTTAAAACTTTTTATCAGGGACAACTCTAAGAAAGTGACTAGGCAAGCACTGCCATCTATCTGACGCAAGGCTGATACCCAAGATATATAAAGAACCTTTAGGGTTCAAGGCTTGGGACTAATGATCTGTGGCTTGCAGCTCTACCTTCTGGACCTATGGCTCCATCTTTAAGTTATTCTTCTCTTTTTCATAAAAGGTAGCGTGTGTTTACAGCTGAGCATTTAATCACCCCGTTTTCTGCCAACAGTGATCTAATTGTTTCACATCCTTGCCAGCCTTTTGTGTGGTCAGTCTTTATTTTTAGCTGTTCTGGTGGGTGTAGAGGGGCATGTCATTGTGGTTTTAATTATACTTCTTGATTATAATGATGTTGAGCACTTTTTCCTGTACTTATTGACATTTGTATATCCTTTATGAAATACCTGTTCAAATCTTTCGCTTATTTTAAGTTGGATTGTCTTTTCATTATTGAGTTGTAGGAGTTCTTTATTTGTCCTTCTTATATCCTGGATATCAGTCCTTTGTGGTTGCCTATTCATTTTCATAGAGTTGTACTTGACAAGCAGTTTTACATTTTGATGTAGTCATGCTTATCATTCTTATAGTTATTGCTTTATGAGTACTGTCTAAGAAATGGCCACCTCCAGATTGTGAAGATATACTTCTATATTTTCTTCTAAATAGTTTATAGTTTTAGGTTTTATAGTTAGGCCTGTGATCCATCTCTAGTTTTTGTGAATAGTGTGAAAAATATTTTGTGAAAAATATTAATGTTTCCCCTTATAGATATCCATTTGTTCCAGAATCATTTGTTGAAAATGCCATTGTGTTGCATATGTACCTTTATTGAAATTCAGATGACCATATAAATGGCAGTTGATTTCTGGACTCTATTCTCTATTCCATTGATCAATCCTTATGTCTGTACCACTATTGTAATTACTGTAGCTTTGTAGTAAGTCTTGAAGTTACGTAGTGTAGGTCAACAACTTTGTTGTTGTTTTTCAAGTTTGGTTTAGATAATTTAGATCCTTTGCATTTTCCATATAAATGTTAGAATCATCAGTTTCTACAAAAACAGCGGTAGGCTTCTGATTGGGATGGCATTGAATCTTTAGGTCAATTTTGGAAGGATTAATAACAGTATTGAGTATTCAAACTTAGGAACATGGTATACCTCTCTTTTTATTGAAATCTTCTTTAATTTTAGTTCTGTTTTGTTTTCAGTGCAGCAGTCTTACACATCTTTTGTTAAATTTTCTCCTAAGTATGTTTTTTTTAAACTCTCTTGTAAGATGAAGCCATCATTTGTATTGTTACTTTGTACATAATGTTCCATTTTTTTCTGATGGCTTTTAAGATTTTCTCTTTATTTTTTGTTTTTTTTAGCAATTTGCCTATGATGTGTTTAGTTGTGGTTTTCTTTGTATTTATTCTGCTCTGAGTTTGCTGAACTTCTTAAATATATACATTTATGTCTGTCACCCAATTTTGGGAAAATTTGAACCATTATTAAAAATAATTTTTTTGCCCATTCTCATTAATCTCTTCTTTTGGAACCTCAATTATATGCAAGTTAGCCATTATGATATTAACTCATTGAACCCTGATACACTTTTATTATTTTCAATGTTTTCCATTTTTTTATAGCTTTATTGAAATATAATAAACAATTTGTTGCTTATGTTTGCAATGTATAATTCAGTGAGTTTCAGCTATAGTGTGCATATAATAATATATTAGTTTCAGTTTTATGGCATAGTGATTAAAGATCTATATAACTCACAAAAATCCTACTAAATCACCACCCTTCTGCCCTCTATTTTTTATAATATTATTGATAATATTCCTATACTTTATATCTCCATGACTATTTTGTACCTATCCATTTGTACTTCTTAATCTCTTTGTCCTTTTTCACTGACTCCCCACCGAACCCCCTTCCCCTCTCGTAGCCCTGAAAATATTCTCTGTATCTATGAGTTTGTCTCTGTTTTTGTTGTTGTTGTTTATTCTTTAGATTCCACATGTATGTGAAATCATGTGGCATTTATCTTTATCTGACTTACTCCATTTAGCATAATACCCTCTAGGTCCATCATGAAATATCTTTTTTCATCCTCTTTTAGTCCGTGTGTGTCTTTTAATCTGAAGTGAGTCTCTTGTAGGCAGCATATGTAGGGGTCTTGTTTTCTTATTTGTTCAGCCACCCTATCTTTTGATTGGAGCACTTAATTCTTTATCATTTGAGGTACTTGTTGATAGATATGTAGTTATTGCCATTCTTTATTAATGTTTTTGATATATGTTTTTTCTTCTTAAAGAAGTCCCCCCAACATTTCCTATAATACTGGCTTGCTGTTGATAAATTCCCTTAGCTTATTTTTGTCTGGGAAGCTCTTTATCTGTCCTTCGACTCTAAATCATAGTTTTACTGGATAAAGTAATCTTGTTTGTAGGTCCTGAGTTTTCATCACTTTGAATATTTTATGCCAAGTCCTTCTGTCCTGCAAAGTTTCTGTTGAGAAATCAGCTGCCAGTCTTATGGGAGCTCCCTTGTAGGTAACTAGCTGCTTTTCTCTTGCTGCTTTTAAGATTCTTTCTGTATTTAACCTTTGGCATTTTAATTATGATGTGCCTTGGTGTGGGCCTCTCTGGGTTCATCTTGTTCGGGACTCTCCGAATTTCCTGGGATTGTATGTCTGTTTCCTTCACTAGGTTAGGGAAATTTTCCATCATTATTTCTTCTAATTGGTTTTGAACTTCTTGCTCTCTCCTCCTTTTGGTACCCCATATTCATATAATGCGGGCGCTGTTACATTTGATGTT